AGATTGACTGTGCCAGAGCCCCTCAGGTCAGGCTTTCCTCTGTAACACAACCATCTCAGGTGTTCCCTCTGTCACTGACGTTGATCTCGTTATTTTACCTCTAACTACAGCTCAAAGGCCACTGAAACCCCCTGAAACAGCCCAGTAAAACTTCAGCAACGCTTATACTGCTTGAGGGATGAGCAAAGGAGGTCCTTGCCATGGCACAACTGCTTTCTTCTCTTTCTTCAAGGCTTTTTATCCCTACCTGTGACGACTGAGGCCCCATGGTTCAGCACGCATATAGCAAGGGTCATCCCACCACACCACCAGCTCCTGTATCTCTCTATTGCCCATCACCAGAGCAGCTGAATCACTTATGCATAAATTCTATCAAGTTTCCACCACTTCTTTCATTTCAGCTTCACAACCCCGTTTAGGTTTGCAGGAAAAGCAGGACACTGGGACAGAAGTCCTTCAAGTGAGTCATGGCAGAAGACCACTGACGTTAATGAGACTCTGTGGAGATAAGGATTTTGGCCATTCAGAGTCAACAGCAGCTTCAGAATCTACATAAGGCAGGCGGAGGCTGGGAAAAGGATGCATTTCTCAGCCTTGTTTGCAGATAAGGAAGTGAGATTACAAGGGAAATGAGCGATTTACCCACAGTCACACAGGAAATCAGCAAGAGATATGGAAATTAATGCTGAGAAGCATTTCAGTGCCTTAATCATAAAGCCAATCTTTTCCTTCAAATGCCAACAGCATTAAATGTTCCTTTTCAATAACGGAATAAGCATAAGAGTTTCGCTGACTTACAGTTATGTTTCCATCAAAAACTTTCAGAGGGGAGCCCGTTCAAGTTAAAATGCTTGGTCAGTATTGCAACCCTTTGGCCAGTTGGGGTCAGCTGTCCCAGCTGTGTCCCCTCCCAAATTCTCATGCACCCCCAGCATCCTCGCTGGTGGGGTGAGAAGCAGAAGAGGCCTTGACTCTGTGTGAGCACTGTTCAGCAGTAACTAAAACATCCCTGTGTTATCAACGTTGATTTCTACACAAATCCACAATGTAGCCCCATACCAGCTTCTCCAAAGAAAATTATTCCAGCCCAAATCAGCACAGGTGGGAAAATACAAGGTCAAAAAGTAAGAGGCATGTTTCATTTTATTTACTACTAATTAGGTAGGCGTCGAAAATATGGATTGAAATATTGTCTTGCTGGGAACCTATTAAGCTGTTAGGCTGAGGGAATATATGGCTTAGGGTAGGAAAGATTCACTTCTCTTGCCTACAGATAAATCACTTGTACATCATCCATCTATTTGACCATCTCTGAGTAGTATTTAGATCACTGTGATGTGTAGGTAGCTGCTCGGCTAAGCACATTTTGTGTAGATACATAACAGCCTGGGCCAAAGCCTGTTTTTATTTAAACCAGCTTCAATTCATTGTGTCCTAATTGAAAATAATGGTGTTGCAGCCGTGATCAAAGAATTGTCTCATTAGCTGTCTATTAAATCATTAGCTATTAAACAGAAATAAAAGGTTAAGAATGCAACACTCTCTGTTCTGCCCAAAAGAATAAGAATATCTCTCCAATTACAAAGAAACAATAAAGGCAGAATTAACAGTGAAAAGAAGCTTAAGATTAGGCAATTATACCCAAAATGCCTGACAACTCTTATTAGAGGTTTAGCAGTACGACCTATATAGAAAAGGCAACACCAATTTAGAAGCAAAGTCAATATTGACTTTACCAAAGGGGCTTGTAAAGGGAATATGCATTTTTTTCTGAGAAACATAGGCACATAAACCCTGTGCTAAATTTTAACTCAGCTAATTAATCGTTATGGATTCAATCTTGCAACCAATACGCATACTTTCAGTGAAAAAATGATGCCTGAACAGCATTCAGACTGAGAGCACCTCTCGGTAATTTGTGACTGAAATCCATTATGAGGATGCTGCGATCTTCACAAAAATAACATTACTCTCATTTTATAGCGGGATGAGGCAAGATGAACTCGGTGAAGAGCACATTGAGTCCTCTTGTTTCTCTTCATTAAGTCACTATAATAAAGCGTCAGGTACCAGGTCTGGGAAAGAGACCCCCAGAGGCATCCTCGTCTGTCAGTGACTTGATACCCAAATCATTTCACAGAACAGTCAGATGAAGACCTGATTTATACCCAACTTAGTCACTACCAAGAAGAAAGGGGAATTACAGTGCAAATCTTGTAAAACCCATGCAGAATTTTGGCTGGTCGTTTATTCTGCTCCATCCAGATCACTGAAAGGAATGGGAGGACACTCATCAACTCGAAGGTGCTTTGGAGCAGGTTTAATTCCACGCAGAAATACAACACGCTTTGAAAAACACAAGAAAGGAAGATGGTCAAAGGCCAAGAGCTTTGCTTTCTTCAAGTGTATAAATCCACAGCTGGAAACTGGAAATCTTATCTCTGCTCACAGAGGTCGGGTCAAGCCTTATTTAGTTGCCAGCTTCAGTGGACCTTTTAAATCTGGGAACCAGAACAACTTCACGCCCAGCTTTGACAGGACATTCGTACAGACAACTGCTGGTTGAACTAAATGGACTTTAATCAAGCGGTGTTTTGAAACGCAGCATCTCCTCATGTCTGCAGGTACTAATTTTATTAGTGGAAGAAGAATGGGAGTCCTTTTCCTGACCTTTTCTTACCAGGTTCAGTCCAGTATCCTGTAACCACAGCAAGTCCTAGAAACACTGGAAACTCAATTAACAGAAACAAAAGTCCACACACACCACCTTTTAGGTCTGAATCTGGTTTTCTGAAGTGCAAAGAAAATACAGCCTCAGCAATATGTTGCTGATATACAACTTGGTGCTTGAGTTTGTAATATGACCAATTCATTGTGAACTGATAAATAATGGCCACTAATCAGATAATAGCTGCATGGTACATGGAAAAAAAAATATCAAGGGAGTCTGTTCCATTGACAATGAAGTTAGTAATGAACAAATATATTCATTCACGTTCCCTATGGTAAGGACTTTCAAGGAAATATGGTTTCCAGAAAATGTGATTTTTGTCATTTCCCATCTGATACAGAAGGGCAAACACAGGAGCTAGAGCACAGGCTAGAGCCTCAAGAGACCTTTCCATCACAGGACTGATGGAAACGTCTCTTGACCTGGTGTTTCCTAAACACCAGGACAGCCCCTTTTATGGAATGGGAAGATCACACTGGTGTCCTCTGCAAAATGCTGTGAGGTTTGAAGACTGCCAGGCATTGCTTTTGTATAACAAAGCCCCCAGCTATCAACGTCTCTGGGGATACTGCTGCACACATGCAGTGCCCAGTGATTTGAATCTTACTTATGAATGGTTTGCCTTCATGATAAATGGAGATAATTATGAAACATTTAATGAAAACAGTGGGGAGCAAGTAGAGGTTGCCTGACCAAGGCTCTTGCCCAACCCATCTTGTCTCTGCTATAGCTACCTCAAATCAGTCAGCTTTCACCTACCTATGGCTCTCAGAGAGAGGAAATCTCTACAGAATGTGCAGTTTCTCTCTGAGCTCTTTAACTGCAAAGGAATTTCTTTGTCACTGGACCTAAAATGTAATGAAATTCTGTTTGTTTTACAGGATGCAATTTATTCCAAAAATTGGTAACACGCTTACTCAGAGTTGTCAAAAATAAGAAGGTGAATGTTTTGTTCCAGCACCTCATCTTCAAAATAAATAGCTTTGCTGTGTGCAATTCTTTAGCCAGCTAAAGAACATAAACATTTATCTGACAAAGTACAAGGTATCCATTAGGACCTTTGCAGTCTTATCTACGAAAAGTTTGTAATAATAGGTTAAAAGTACACAGATATGGGATGTGGGTTTCAAATGCAGTCTGAGGAAAACGTAACCAAGTGCTCAGGGCTGGAATACATTCACACACGACAGTTGGTAACTGGAATATGAGGAGGAACTTGTTTCTTGAAACCTACAGAGAGTTTAGAAGAAAATCTAAAGGTTACAGGATCACTGTATGTAAAAAGGATGACTGTACCACCCTATTTTTATAGCATTTATTGATAATATACAGCATTTTCCTGCAATTGTGGTAAAGGAAATATTTTTACAGGACTACCCTAAGAAAGTCATAAATAGCAGAAATTCCACCCCTATACAGAATTCATTGTGGTAAATTCTTAAGGTCATTCAAAACAAGGAAAAACAGCCACAAATCGCACAATAACCCAAATAAACTTTATAAAGATATTCCAAAGTACCACTTCTGTGCCTAAAAATAATAATGCGCTAAAAGCTGGAAGCCATGCAATGGGGTCAGAAGTCATGAAGTCAAGTCTTGATAAAGTCACATTAATGCTATTTTCATCTCAATGTCAGGAAGAGAGAGCCAGTTGCACATCTTATGATAATTTTTTAAAAAGGACAACAAAACACAACATTGTTTAAAAGCTCCCAGTTCTCGTTTTAAGAATTTTTGCAATATGGTTGTTATTTTCTATTCTCTGTCATGATCCAGACTTTGGTACAGTTCATGAGTAATTCCTGACTGGAAAGCAGGTGTAGCAGCCAGAAGCATGTAGCAAACCTTGCTGTACACTGGTACAATACACTGCATTACTACTGCATAAATCATGGATGCAGAAAAGCCACACAAGAATGAAGATACCTGTGTGAAGAGTTGACTTGTCCCAAGTGGGGGGTATCAGACAACACCTTCTCTCCATCATAACCCCCTGGCCAGCAAAGAAAGACTGGGGCTGCTCTTTCAGCATCCCTTCTGCCACACCGGATTTAGCACACCAGCACCAACGGGACCACATCAACCCATGGAAAGGTGCTAACCCTGCGTAACCTCTGGAGACTGCAGAGGGAAACAACGTGCCACCACAGGAACAGCCATGACTGTAAAATGACTGGAGCATGGCAAATCCCGACCGTGAGCTAGGTCCTAATGTGATGGTGGAGAAAAGGGTGCAAACTCTGTTCTCCACCTCGTGCGGGTGCCTTACCTTTATGACGTCTTCGTCGGCTGACTTGCACTCGGTGGAGTCTGAAACGTCGACCACGGACCCATCCTCCTGCACAGCAACCACCTTGACTGGCACAGACACCGTCTTCCCCGTCAGAATGGCCGTGTTAAGGACTTCTGTGTCCTGTGGGCACACAGAGAAATCACGGATGGACATCAGGGAAGTGTAAAAGCAGGAGAATGCAGCAGGGGTCAGGCTGATGAACCAAAACCCTGCCTCTGATGGGGGCAGGAGCAGAGGAGCCACCCTTCCTTGCACACAGCCTTCAAGCTCCCTGTAGTCAATGGTTTAACAGCTTTCCAAACCAAAAGTTGCATCTGGATTCTCAAGTTCTGGTTTTGCCAAAGACAGGGGGTTATTCTCTCTGAGCCCATCTACAGGTTTGGCTCCTGTGGCAATGAAATCTGTAACACAATTATGGACAAAGGCACATCTGCAGCTTGGCAGGACCACAGCCTATTCAGCTTCAATCTCCAGAGGGTGTCAGCCACTCTTCCCACTCCTTTGCCCCAGATTACACCAGGGATCTGGGAGGTGATTATCAAGCATGACAATAACAGCATTTCTTCCTTGCTGTTCCAGCTAACGCTGTTGTGAGTTGACCATTTCCCCTTTTCGGGACATAAATACATGGTGAGAAAAACTATGTATGAGGTAGGGTGCTACAAACTAAGCAATGTCATTCCTATACAATTCTTTGTTTAATCTTTCTCCATCAAAATCCCACCTAGAGATGTTTTACCACATTTATCTCTAATCCTGATGAATTCACGGTGCTGGCACTCTAATGACTCCATTAACACAGCCTTCCTCTGTGTCTCAGTGTGGCTGCGGTTTGATTAATTACTCCAAATGAGTTGCTGCAGAGGTCCCTGCCTTACGTAAGCAGGGATGGAGGCTGGAGGGGAGCAGCCTCCCAAGGCCCACGGAACAGATTGGACACATGCAGGGCAGGGAACGATCTGAGCTTGCAGAGAGATTCGGCTCGGCCTTCTCGAAAAGCCCGCAATAGGAAACGCTGCTTCAAACCAATCCGCTTTTCATTTTCCAACTTCCATAAAACTGATTGCTTGCCAGTTGGGAGAAGAAAAAAAAAGAAGTTGCTTCCAACTAATCTAACTTTAAATTCCTTTATTAGAATTGGTGGAAGAAGAAATGGATTTTAGTGAAAAATGTGACGGCTGCTTGCATAGGGAGATATATTCACTATCATTTGCTTCTGTCTGCTAGCGAGATTGATAGAAAATAATGGGCATTGACCACAAGCTAAGGACAGCTGGAGAAGACCAATAAATGCTAGCAACTAAGATGTATTATTAATCAATATTCAGAAACTTCTACAAAAAGCACCCGGAATTGAATCAGTTGAAGTACTGATAACGCTATTGCCAGCTAACTGATACAGTCTACTAGAGCTTTATGGGCAGTCATGGTCCAGAAAAGCATTTAAGCATGTACTCGAGTCCATTTCTTGTTCAGAGCAGCACTAAAAGTACGTGCTCAACTTGACACTTAGACTTCAATGTGATTTAAGTGTGCGTTTAAGTGTGGTCCTGAATAGAGATGCTTTCCCGAATAATATCTCATGAAATAAATACAGCGTCTTTGTTCTGCTCCCTGCGAGGCACAAACCAGTTGTTTTACACAGTAAATGACTGTCTAGTTTTTCTTTGTGCTGAATGGGCTCATTTATAACCAGCCGCCATCCACGAGGGAGGGCCACTGGGAAAGAGGGACGGTATGTGACACAAGTGGAAGTGTGAAAGGACAACCGTAAAAGGATAACGCAAAGTTTATCAAGACATTTGCATTCCTCTTGTAAACTGCCTGTGAAGGTGAGCGGGACAGAGAAGGTCTTGGAAGAGGCACCTCGTGACCCCGCTATTTGTGGGTGCTGTGCAATGCGGTCACTCCGCTCGTGACCTAACACTGTCCTGAACCTTCCCTCCTTCCCCGCGGGTGCAGGTACCCACCGTGCTCATTAGCTGCTGCTGCTTCACAAAAAATACACCCTGCTGGTAACCAATTCTACCACAGAAATCGATATTTCAGATACCTGATGCCTGGATCAAGTGTCACACAAGTATAATAGGCTGTGTAAAGACCTTTTTAAGAGCTGGCTATTTATAGACTGAAAAAATATATTTCCTCTGAGGAAGAAATATGAAGGCAGGACTGAACTAATTGACTGTCCATTACGTTTATAAACAGACTTTTCTTTTTAAGGCATCTTCAACAAGTAATCGCATTTCATCTAAATTCTGTTAGGCTTGTTTTATATTTCCATGGGAGGGTTTACTGCAGAAAAAAAAAAGCATCAGTGAATTTAAGATACCTGCGCTGGTTCTTACAGATCTGAAATGTAGAGAGGGTGATCATGCTGATTTACATGGGCAGGTCCTCCTGTGTGGCACAGCATCAGTGAAACATCTGGAACAACACCCAGGGACCAGCAGCACAAACCTCTCCCTGCTGACACCGCAGGGTCTCAGGTGAAAAACCAGGAATAATTTCCCCTTTATTTTTGAAGGCTTCAGCTGCCAGATCTTGACCAAAACCTTCAATTCAAGCAGCCTTCAGCTACACATTCACGTTGCAGGCTCCATCCCTGTATAATAATTATGTGCGTGTTTATCTCCAGCTTCTTCTCTGTACCCGACTGCATTAGCACTTCAGCAGAGCTCTTCTTAATTACAACTGTAACCTGCTAATAGCGTTTCTTTGTTGTCTGAAGGAATCTACTTCTTATCCAGTCTAGGCTAAATTAAAATTTAATACAACATCAGGTCGCAACAGAACTAGGAAGCAAATGACAGCTGTTTAATTAAAACCTAAAGCTGATTAGATGGCACTACTGAGAGAAATACTCAAGAGGAAGAGCAGAAAACTACTGAAACTCAAGGCCAGGATAATGGCTTTATTTAAATATGAATAAACCCTGTGCACAGCCATAGTAAATGTTTGACGACTCATTGCTTTGGACAAATGGGGGGAAACGTGAAAGGGAGATGTGTCAAGAGTCGTGATAGAGCTGTGATTACCAACAGTGCTGTTACCTGTGTATGTGACCAGAAGTAAAGATCGCTGAGGAATGACTGCAATAGGTAGATGTGAACCAACTGAGGAACTCTAGGCTCAAAGTTCCCAATAATTAGGCTTTAAACACCACCACAGTGACCTAAATCCTCCTTTGGCATGGGACTCTGTGGCAGCTCACCAAGCTGCTGTGAGCCAACATGACACCATTTCCCACCCCTCTTCTGGTTGAAAAATGTGGAGAAATAGAGCATGCATCTCACAAGAAGCCATCTCAGCAGCCAGGAGTTGGGCAGGGGTTACCTAGACCCCATCCCAAAGCCACCAGCACATCTCTCCTGCCCCAGCATCCTTCCCACAAAGCCCCACGCCAGTTCACCATGACAGACACCATCCCTGTGATGAGTGCACAAGCCAGACGTGTTTTCTGAGAGGTTAACAAAACACGCTGCAGTACAGTAAACCCAATAAACACTCAGTTGTAAATCAGGAGGGAAACCTAAAGCCAACCGTATTCCACTGACAAATGCTACAGCTAAATGCCTCCTGGCATTTAGTTGAAACGACTGTCTTTAGTGAAGAAGGCACAGAGCTGAAACATTTGTCTGCAGAATTGCATTCCTTCATTATTATTTTTTTTTCCCCAGAGTGTACCTCAGGAAAATACATTTGTAATATTAGGAGGAATCTTTAGGAACCGGTTCTCCTGCCTGGAAACGGCATCTCCTAAAAAATGCAAATTATAGGGCAGATTGTGACATGGGGGCTGGGATAGGGGAGGGTTTCTTACTTGATAAATTATTCACCACCTTTTTCTTCATATCAAAGAGCAAGGCAATATAAGTCCATTAAGAAAGCTTAATATATAAATTAGATGCTTTGCTGAAATTATTATAATCCAAAGCAATTCTGTACTTCCCTCCAGGCCCCCCAGTAACTGAATAACATTTTAGGTTTCCAATACATATTCATGAAGCCTGGTTGCTAGAAAGCTATTTCTATTTTCTACCATAAGATCAGCTAAGATGCCCCATTTTGCCACCCAATGGTGAGAAGCAACAACTGGAGGCACCCAAGGCCAGGTTGGACGGGGCTTTGGGCAACCTGGGCTGGTGGAGGTGTCCCTGCCCATGGCAGGGGTTGGACTGGATGAGCTTTGAGGTCCCTTCCAACCTAAACCATTGACTCTATGATTCTAACAGGGATGATGCACGTATGAAACATCAGGAAACAAGCAATGAGGTGAAGAGCTCACAGTGTTCTGAGCCTTTTTCCTTCCCACGTTCACAGTCAGTCCCACTCCATGCTGAGGAGCCAGACCCCGCAGCACTGCCCGCAGGAGCGCTGCTGGCTGCTCGGCAGATGGCTGAGCCGTGGATACGCATGGGCTGAACGGGCAACCCTGCCTGCCCATGATTTGCCCTCACAAAGAGCTGAACAACCACTAATTCCTTATTCTCCAAGTATCATTTCAGTGGAGCCACTTCTGGAATCAGCTTTTTACCAAGTCTTCAGGCATCGGAGTGAAACCTGAAGTGTAACCACACGTGAGTCCTCCTGCCCTGCTGCCAGAAGGTCATTCCCGCTCCCCTCAACCTTGCCCTGTCTCCGGCTGTTTCCTCATTTCAGCTCCTCATCCAGCACATCGCTCTTAGGAGGGATCAGTTATGACAGATGGCAAATCGCAAATACTGCAGGCTATCGTGTCAAAGCTAAAGGTCAGCCTTCATCTGCTTTGTTTACCTGCATCATAGCTCTACTTCATCCTGGGATCCCCAAGGAAGAATGGGCAGGTGCATATATTCTGCAGGAAAAATTAATTAATGGAGATTGAACCATACAGAGAGGTTCCTAATCGCCGATTCTTACAGAACAACGTAAGCAGCAACTATCAGCCTAATTGAATATTAGCCTAGATGTGTATTACAGTGTGTGCTGCAAAAACGACTTGCTACAGCACAAAAAAAGCATGATACAGAGACTCCCAAGCAGAATCTTATTTCAAAACTTGTCTTTTTGCCACAGATACACCAAAGGAAGCTCTCATCTTAGCTGAGTGTACCTGGCACGCATGATCAGCCGGAGTGGTATTTCTGTCTTGGAGTTCATGGAAACTAAAGCTGAGATTTATTCCATTTCCATGTTTTTTTATGAGGGAAATTCAGCTCATTTTGAGGTTTATGTAGGATGAATAAGCAAAACCTGCTGCTGAAGGTGAAACCTGATTAGAAGCACAGATACTGTCACATCTATGACCTGAGGCGGTTTTATTTTATTTTTTATAACTCAGAACAGATCTGCCCCCATTAAGCAAAGGTTCAGAACGCAGCCTGGTGCACTTGGCAGAAGTAATTGCAACCTGTCAGGCAGTCTCTGCTGTCTCAGCTAAGTACCAGTGCCTTCTGCAGCAGCAAAAGACCTTTCCTGAGACCGAGCTCATGCTTTTTTGCTCCAGCCCATTATATCCCAGTAGAGTTTATTCTCCAAACCTGCTGTGTTAAACACCACGACACCACTGAAGTGCAGACTCGAGGTGGAAGGAATGGGAAATACTTACAGCTGGAGAGCAACTATCACTGATTTTAGTTGTCTGCACAGAGAACAGACACCAAGAGCTCCTGGCTTGGGCTTCAGGACCTTTTAGTACACCAAGAAGCACAGAACCTAAAGTTGGCCTAAAGATATGGTGAGCTCTGCCAGTCATTCTCCACTGGAGCTTACACTGCATTTAGAGTAGAGTAGAGCATGTGAGCATTCATCTGACAGACTTGTGCGGGTTCTTCTCAATAGCAAGTGATCGGTAACCATTTCAAAGCATATTTAGACTTTCACAGTTCATTTAAAGGTGTCGTTTTTCCTCTTTTTGTTCCACAAAAACGTGATCACCTTCTGGCTTAATAAAACTGTGGGTCACCTCCAACTGAAATCAAACAATATCCCCCTGAATTCAAGGGGATGCAAAAGGGGTAGAGTGTCTACTCAAGGGCAATGGCATGAGCCTCAGTACAACCTGATATATAAATGGTTTCAATGTATATTAATTGTTTTCAAATGACCATGAAATAATAACATGAATGCTCTCCAAAGGCATTGCTTTTTCCACAGAAAAATCTAGGGAGGCCATGCTTATAGTTTATTGAATGTAACTACTGGATTCACTTAAGTAGTCAAAGATGTAATTTTCTGGCTCTGTATCTTTGTCCCACAGGCTTAATAATATTGAACAACATTGTGGATGGCCATTTTGAAGAA